GCCCCTCCTTCCTCACACTTGGCTTCTTGTGCCGATCTATTCGTGAAATGTTTTGAAACTTAGTGCTTAAGAGGTAAGCAGTTGATTCTGTGCATATAGATTTGCAAATGTCTTTTCCTCAACTCCGTATGTTTATTTTATAACATTTTTGCTGTGAAGAGGAGGCGTGTGTCTAAAGACACAAATTCACAGTTTTGAGAACTGTAAAACCAAGCATCTGTGATAGTATCTTTTAGTCAGAAAAACTGCTGAATAACCTTACAGAAACCTCTGGAAGAGCATGACATTGTGAATGGATTAAATGAATTCATTTACCAAGAAGTTTACACATTGCATGAATATGCAGCCTCTTGCTACATAATTAAAAACTAATCCTTATTTCTCAATGAGTAAACTTTGGACTATAATGTATCTTAAATACAAAACTATCTTTAGATATTTTTTTCCTCAAAAAGCTTTTTATTTTAAAAATTCCAATTTAAATGTTAAAAAGTCCAGTTTAAATAAAAAATCCAATATAAATAAAAACCCAATTTTTTATTTTTTTTAAAACATTGATTTTTATCCACCCTGCAGCATACCTTTTTTGGCATGATATCAATTTTCTCCTGGACACCTCAATTTTTTCTTCAACATCTGTTCTTGGAGTGTAAACTTGAATGATGGTTGTGTTGATAAGTTTCCAGACAATTCTGATTGATATGATTTAGTTAACATTTGCATGATAGCCCTTTGCTGCCTGTACTAATCTTGGCTCAGTATTACAGCCACTCTGTTTCTTCTGAATTTATCATTTCCAGAGTAAACCATTTTGTGCCTGTCCGACTGAAGGGGGGTCATTCCACTCCATTTTAGTTCACTCACACCAAGTATCGTGATGTTTAACCATTCCATTCAAGCGTTATGGTTTTCAGCCCGCCCTGCTTCATAATGTTCACATTCCAGTTGTCTGTGTCGTGCAGCATCAGACTTTCCTTTTGCCTTCGTGCATGCAAGTCACTAGGCTGCCTTTTGGCTTTGATCTAGATATACCGTCAGCAGCAGTACTTCTGCTTTGCTCCTCCCTAGTAGTTAAGTGCCTTCTGACCAGGGAGCCTCATCTTTTGGCACGATCCTGTTTTGTTTTGGATTGTTCCATCATGGGTCTTTCAAGCAGGAAAAATTCAGTTCTTTACCACTGCCTTCTCAGCATTCCCAAGCAGAGTTAGTTTATGTATGTATGTATGTATGTATTTATTTAGGCGACTTCTATGCCGCCCCATTCGCCGAAGCCTCGGGGCGGCTCACAAACCATAAATAAATAAAAATCAATAAAACAATATAAATTAACAATATAAATTAAGGTGCCCTGGCCAAGGAATAAAATGAATAAATAATATTAACAATTAAAATAACATTGGAATAGAAAGGTCTTCACCTGGTGCCGAAAAACAAATAACGATGGTGCCAGGCGGACCTCTCTGGGAAGCACATTCCATAGATTGGGCGCCCACCGCAGAGAAAGCCCTCCTCCGAGTACTCACCCTCCTAATTTCCTTCACGGAGGGCTCCCGGAGAAGGGCCTCGCCCGCAGATCTCAAGGGGCGGGCGGGCGGGCATATATGGACGTAAGCGCTCCTTCAGGTAACCAGGACCCAAGCCGTTAAGGGCTTTATAGGTCATCACCAACACCCTGAATTGGGCCCGGACTTCAATGGGACGCCAGTGAAGCTGACGGAGGACTGGAGTCATGTGAACATAACAATCTTGCACCAGTGTTACCTCCAACTACCGCTGGTGCCCAGTGGCTGCCTTTCAGGAGCTTCTCCCGTCCCATCACCATTAGAAATATCTCTCTTCTGCTGATGTGACCATTGCTCCTGAGGAGAGTGGATGCATCTTAATCTGGTGTCTCCTCTTTGACCATCCGCCTTAGGTGAGCCTGCTAGGAGACCAGCCTAGTGAGAGAGTCTGACCTCCTGGTCTCTTAACTTTCCTGACACTCTCAAAGCCCCACACCACATTAAGTTGTGTGTCCAAAGGGGGAACACAGCGGATACAGGGATCTAAGAAAGAAAGAGGGGAAAGACTGTGAACTGAGGAAAAGACTTGAGGGAGCAAAACAGAGGCATTATGGTTGCCCACGCAAATACAGAGAGTCGTATCATGACTTTTAAGGTTTAAATGGCTTTGGACTCAAAGAATATCTGAAACATAATGCAATGTGGTCCTAATTGTAACAGGAGAGCGAAAGAGAGAACGCTTCCGAGTGGCGGAGTTCTGCTTGTGGAATTCCCTCCCCAGAGAGCTCCCCATGAGGCCAACATTGCTATCTTTTCAGGACCAGCCAAAGACATTGTTATTCTCCTAGCCCGTTTAATTTGTTTTTTCCTAATTTAAGGTGCAGCTTTGGGAGCTGACGTATTATTTTATTTATGTATTGTCCTGGCTTTGTGAACTGAAGTATGTCTTGTGTAATTAATAATAATGGGCCATATAGGCCTTAAAAAGGGAAATGTGAATTATGCTTGGAAATGGGGTAGAAGCGAATGAAGTACTTTCAATACTGGCACTATACATTTCTGCTGACTACTCAAAAGCAACAGCCTCAAAGCAAGTCTGGGAAAGTCTGTAACTGTCCCATCAGTCTGAACTAAGAAAAGGTTCAGAAAAGACAGAGTTCCCTGGAGAAGGACCCTAAGACTACATCTGGATCCTTTGCGCAATCCACTCCAAGACTGATTCAACACAATGCTTTGGAGTTCCAGTTTATTGGCCACAATGGGCTTGCTGTGGTTCTGTACAAGACTCTTTGGATTGTGTCTCCTTGCTAGAAGAATGCATCTGCAGAACAATTATGCATGCCCAGATACAAACACAACTTTCTCTTAGCAATTGTGCTAAGCCTCTGCAGAGAACATTGCTAAATGGTTTGAACTCTTTTTTAATTTTCACAAAAAAGAAGATACAAATAAGAATATTAAATAGGAAAGAAAAGGAATAGCAAGGGATGTTACAGAAATGTAACATATAATTTTAACATCTCATATAATGCTGGTCCTCTATCAGCTAGGGTAGCATTCTCCCACTAACAGAAATGTTCAGAATCAGTGTAAACTACAGGTTGTATGGATTGTTTATTCATTTAAGGATTTTCTATACTGTTTATTTTTCTAGGAAATCTGTAAGGAGCTCTTTGAACTCCAGCCAAGGCAAGTTGTCATGTGTGGGAGGAAAAAAGGGTGTGGAAAGAGGCAGTTTCTCCAGGGTGGACTCTTCTGGATCAAAAACATGTCCCAGTTTGTCACTAATGGTTTTGCAGTGTCTTTTCTTCAGTGGGCAAAAAGCAGTAGCAAAGAACAATTTTGAACTGGGAAAAAAAAGGAGGCACTATTAAGGAGACCATCTTCATCCACCCCTCAGCCACTCAGCTGTAGTCTGTCAAGCTGCCTCAGAGAGCCAGTGTAGCGTAGTGGTTAAGAGCACTCAGGCGATCTGGGTTCTAGTCCCCTCTTGGCCAGGGAGCCAACTGGGTGACTTGGGGCTAGCCAAAGGTCTCAGCCCAGCCAAGCAGGGTTGTTGTTGTGGGGACAAGACTGAGAGCAGCAGGAGGAGAATGGCGCAAGCCGCTTTGAGTTTAATAAGAAAAAGTGGGATATAAATCTAATAAATTGGATGAAAACACACTCAACACGAGTGGTAGAGGGAAGGAATCACCCTGTTAATGTATCATGTGAGCCTTCGTGCTATGAATGGGCACATCCTTGTGTATTGTTTCAGCTGTGAAGGACCAACCAACACATCCTGCTTTTCCCATATGCTGCTATTCCATGTTTTGCAACTGCTTCTCAATTCCTCATATTCGAGGAAAGACCCCTGATCCTTTCCCCACAAATAAGGTTGCAATCCGAAGGAAAAATTAACACACAGCATGTACACTTTTGCATGCTATATTCACTGAAGTCATAGCACAATTTATTTATTTATTGGATTTATATCCTGCCTTTTTCTTTTTTTAAGGACTCAAAGCGGCTTACATCATTCTCCTCCTGCTGCTCTCAATCTTATCCTCACAACAGTAATCCCGAGGGTTGGGCTGAGCTTCAGCGACCTGGCCAAAATCACTCAGTGAGCATCATGCCTGAGCTGGTAGCAACTCAACTTATTGTAGCAACAATTACTCTTGTGGCACCTTCAACTCTCAGAACCGGAGTGGCAGTTGGAACATCGGAGCACGGGCGGATGCGTGTGAACAGTTCCGACGCGGGAGTCTGCCTCTAGGAGGCACAAATGCACGAAATCATTAGCTCTGCAACCGTCTAATATTTGGACACTGCAAGAGCCATTTCCGCCAGAAATCAGCCAGAGAGATTCTGAGTGTGTAGCAGCTGCAACATCTCAGAACTTTGAAAAACCTTTACGCAACTTTGCCCCTAACAACTCTTGGCTTATTTTGTTGTACTTTAAACGTATTATAAACCGCCTCGCCAACTTCAGTCGGTAAGCTGGTTACAAACACTCCAAATAAAGAAAGCATTTTAAAATATGGAGTGAGAGAACATGTCTGCAAAGCAGCTTTCGGAAGCCTGTTTGCTATTGCGCACCCGTATTTCCGAAACTCAGGTATATTTGGATGGGCATTTCACGACCTCAGCAGATAGGATGACCCAAGTCTTCTAAAGATCAAAGAAAGAATAGGCAAAGTGGCGGCCACCCCAGTCAACCCAGCGCGCGCGAAGAACGCGCACCGTCGGCCCGGCGATGCCTCGGGCCCCACTCACGTGCGCCGCGCGCAAAGCATGCGCGCGCTGCCTCCGGCCGGGTGAACCTCGCGCGTGCCGCGCACCGGCTCCGCGCGCGGGCTCTGTGACGTCGCGGCGGGCGCAGTGACGCGCCGAACCCTGCAGGGGGAGCCCGCGGCGAGGCCGCCACGGGCCCGCCACACTGGAGCCGGCCGGGCCCGCTCCGTGCGGCTGCTGTCGGCCTCCTCTCTATCGTGCGCGCTCCGCCGCCGAGCCGGCCCCTTGCGCCCGCCCGCCCGCCCGCCTCTCCCGCCTGCGCGCCCGCCCTGCGTCACCCGGCCAAGATGGAGACCGCCGAGGAAGGTAACGGCCTGGCGCCCACTCGCCCCCGGGAGGGCGCGCGCCCCTGCGCCGGCCGCCGGCGGGCCGCTCGGCTCCCCCT